AAAAAAAACCTTATACTGGACCCAGATTTACTGGACCTGGGAAGTGGATCTCATTTGGGCGACTTTGCAAAAGTCATCACCAGTGACAACGGTTGTTACGCGAAGCTTGACGTCGGGACAGGCTGCGTGGTTGGAGCACAGAGCGTGCTTATGCCTGGCTCCTGCATGGAGGAAAGCTCGTGGCTGGGAGCCTTGTCTGTAGCAACAAGCGGCTTTACACTGAAGCAGGGTGGTGTGTACCTGGGCGTAGAGAATCCAACAATGGTCTACAACCATGCCTCGGTAGCTCACGAGCAAGACAGCAGGATTGTGGCCATGGACGCGGAATACAGAAAGACGGTGGCCAACCTCTCGGCTCACATAGGCAAAACGAGCCATTCCGTCAAATCGAGGTACTTCCACAGGGCTGGGATATGTGGCAAGGGACGCCTCACTGTGCTGGAAGACCTGGACAGCAGCTTTCCCCGCCACGATGTCTTCTCCAAGGGGAAGTCGTATTCGGTTGTTGTGAGGCACAGCAACAGCTTGAGCTCGGACGACGATGCCAGGCCAGATGCCCGCGGTGCTTCGCTGCGAATCCTGAGGCACGACCACAGTTCGGTTCACGAGTCACTTGTGGATCTCACGCTCAAGACTGGCCAGGCTTTCTACGCCAGAAATATTGCCGACTTTGTTACGTGGTTGACGACGAGCAGCAAGCGCAGGGAGGAGATTGTGAAAGACTCCCCGCACAGAGGCGATGCAGTGTGGGACTCTCTACGTCTGGGCAACTCATATGCCGAGCTGCACTACTACTCCAACGTTTCCAGGCTTTTCAAGTCGGCTTCGTCACCCAAGCGAGAATGGTACGTGAGGTTCCGAATGAGGCCACTGGATCCGCAATATGGGGTTGACGAAGGACGGATTGCACGGGAGGGTGTGCTCCCGCCGGACACCGGCGCGCTGCCTCGACGAGACAAAGACGAGCGTTCACCCAGCTATCTGCGAGACGACTTTGCACGGAGGCTTGCGTCCCCGCAAGGCGTGGACTACGTGCTCCAGCTCCAGCTACGCCCAGTTCCCGACAGCCTAGCCGAGAGGGACCTCGCTATCGACTGCACCCGCGCGTGGGACGAGCAAGCTTTCCCTTATGTGGACGTTGCCGCCATACACCTTGACGAGCTTGTCGACCCCGCACTGACAGAGGCGATGAGGTTCAACCCCAGGAACGGTGTGCCGAGCCTGGACATGATCCCGGCAACCAGCTTGCGGGAGTCGGCGTCCATAGACCACGGGAGGTCGGTGGCCTACGACATTGCTCAGTACGTGAGGAACGGAGCAGAGCTGCCCGGTGCATGGAAAGCGCTCCTGAGAGACTCAGACGTGCCTCTCGCCAATGACATTTCCAACGACGGCAACATCGGTTGCCCTGCTCTATCCGGATGCCTTCCGCCCAACCTGGCAGTGCTGCCGGAAACCAACTGCAAGACGGCGACGGCCACTGCCAAAACGAGGCTCAAGTTCGGTTTGATTCGAAGCATGCAGCCACTCTTGCAGCTGTTGGCCCCCGCTACTCTCCTCGGGCTCTCTCAGCTTGCAGCTCTCCTCCCGGCGGCGTTGATCGCGTCTCGAGCACCCCGCAGCGACTGGCTGTTCCTGGCACTCGTCCTGCTCTCGTACATGGTATCGGCTCTCGTCTTGTCCCTGGGCAGCATCTCAGCGAGGAGGATCCTGGTTGGAGGAAGGAAGGGCGTGCAGGAGAAGAGCAGGAGCGAGCTATGGGGATTGAGGAGCCTCCAGGACACGGTGTGGCAGTGCGTCAACTCGGTTGCGTGCGGCTACTTCCTCGACCTCACCAAAGGCTCGGCACTCTCTACAGGCTACCTCCGGCAGCTGGGAGCGAGCATCGACACCGTGGGTGTGTACATGGACACACTGTATGCTCTCAATCCGGACCGCCTGAGCGTCAAGACCGGCAGCAGCATTGGGCGAGACGCGCTACTCTTTGGTCACGTGTACGAGGGCGGCGGCGACGTGCATTTTGGCAGCAACAGCGTTGGGGAGTACGCATTCGTGGGCGCCCGCTCGCTTCTCCTCCCGGGATCGAGCTTGGAGGATGGAGCCGAGCTGCGTCCCCTGGGCCTGGCCATGAAGAACGAACTTGTAAAGGCGTTTTAACTTACTGATTAAAGAATGTTTTTTTACCTCGTACGGTGATGGGCACGCCCGTCAGTTGACGGGCACGGAGGGGTCGGCTATGGCGACAGCAAGCATTGGATGGAGGTGGACGGGTAACTTAACTCACAGAGAGTGAGAGCGTGAGTGGGCTTGGGCCGGAGAAATGGCGCTCTCTTCGCCGGGCAGTAACAAGCTGGGAGCTGCTCGTGTCTTGGTGGTGGTGCTCTTTGTGCTAATATCGAGATGTGGCGCCACCGGAGGAGGAGGAGACAATGATGTATCTCACGATGACGAGGATGCACCCAAGCATCTGGGCTGTGACAACAACTTCGAATTGGTAACGTGATCCGCGCTTGCTTGCTTGTAGTGAGGCGTGTTAGAGTTATGGCAGGTGAAGGTGAGGAATTGGATTGACGCGGTGGAATCCAAGGAGTATGTGGGGATCAGTGCCAGGTTTGGAGCTTCCTTCAAGACGCTGGGGCGTGAAGAACACTTCCTGCCCCTGGCTCTGCTGGATTCACCGGATGGCTGTGTCAACACGTCTCAGCGGGCAAGTGGTACCGACGCAGGCCTCAGGCAATGTTAATGTTGGTGCGCTGTGGTTTGTGCAGCTGGAAGGCGCTGCTCTGGTCCAGAGGGGTGGCTGCTCCTTCACCACCAAGGCTCGAGTTGCCCAGTCTGCCGGCGCTGTGGCCTTGCTCGTCTTCAACGACAGGGAAGGTAAGGCTTGGAACTCTCACTCGTGCCTGACCATACAAGGTGGTGGTGGTACGTTACAAAACAGAGCTCTACAAGATGGTGTGCTACGACAATGACACATCCTTGGACATCAAAATCCCCACAGCCATTTTGCCCATGTCTGCAGGCAACAGCCTCCAGAGTGCATTGGAGGCCAACAAGAAAGGTGAAAACTCTACATGGTTTTCACAACTTTGCAATGTTTTCGTTCCAGTCAGGGTGATTATGGATTCGCCTGGAAGGCCCCTGGTGGATGTTGCCGAAGTATGCCTGTGGCTCATCGCCATGGGCACTATCCTCTGCGCGTCATTCTGGTCTGCCTGGGAGGCAAAAGAGGCTGCTCACGAGCGCTGTAAACGGCTAAAGGTACACAGTGTGCGGGCAAACTAAGTTTTTGAGTTCCCGGTTGGGTGGTGGACGCAGGACGCTCCAGACGCTCCGCTTACTCACACCTCCACGGTGGCCGCGACTCCAGCCGGCAATGGTCTCTATGTCACCGTTACGTCGGCAGTCCTGTTTGCGGTTTTTGCTTCGGTGTTCCTCATCCTCGTCTACTTTTTTATGTCCAAATGGTTCTTAACGCTTCTGGTCGTCATCTTCTGTTTTGGTGGAGTAGAGGTAAATTTGTGTCTTTGTTCTAAAGTTTCGTCATCTTATGTATGCACAGGGGCTACAAACTTGCTTGGTCGCTTTCCTTTCGAGGTGAGTTAGATTCGTGCCTGACATATGCCTTAGCTCAACCATTCCAGGTGGTTTACGCATACAAGCCGAAAGTTTGTGCTCCTTCCCGTCTTTGGTAGCGTCTCAGTTCTCTCAATGCTTGTGTCACCATTCTGCATCACCTTCGCTGTCCTGTGGGCCGTGTACCGGCATGTAAACTTTGCGTGGATTGCTCAAGATATACTAGTGAGTGCAATTGGCATACTGACCCAGTCATGAGTATCTAAGTGAGGCTCTCCGTTTTTGCAGGGCATTGCTCTCATTGTCACTGTTCTCCAGATTGTGCACCTTCCAAATATAAAGGTGAGTACTTGTTGCACACACACACTCTATCTAAGAGCTCTGTGGAATCCTCAGGTGTCGGCAGTCCTTCTGGGATGCGCTTTCTTCTACGACATATTCTGGATTTTTATCTCCCCATTCATTTTCAAACAAAGTGTTATGATAGTGGTATGTATGTGATGCAAATCTTCATGGATTGTTAACCATGCACACAGGTTGCACGGGGTGACAAAACCGCTGGAGAAGGCATACCAATGGTCCTTAAAGTACCTCTGATTTACGACCCCTGGGGAGGATACAGTATCATAGGCTTTGGTGATATACTACTTCCAGGGCTTTTAATATCCTTTGCTCTGAGGTATGGGGAATACAAGAGGTCATTTTTTAACACACACCATTGCAGGTTCGACACAGTGACTAGAAAAAGCTTGCGAGAAGGTTACTTTTTGTGGTCGATAATAGGCTATGGCCTGGGTGAGCATCCATTATACTCTGGCTTTTGTGAACACAATGTCATGTGGAAATTGTACAGGTTTGTTTCTTACGGACGTTGCATTGAACGTGATGCATGGGCATGGACAACCTGCCCTCCTCTACATCGTACCTTGCACTCTGGGTATGGCTTACAAGTTCTAAATTTTGAGAGAGATGGTTTCTCTTTTGTGCCACGCCAGGAACAATCGTTGCTCTAGGGTGGCGAAGAGGCGAGCTGGGATCCTTGTGGTCCAAGGGAGACAGCCTTGAGATGCAGCTGGAAGACGATTGCACAGAAGCATAAACTTAGTGTTGCACTCTTACTGCACTTTATAGTAAGTGCCCGACTTGACATGCTGGAGCTTGCCATCAGCCCCATACTTCCAGGAGATCATCCTCACCTCGTCACCACTCATAACCCAGCTCACCCCAAAAGCATGCTCCTTACCAATGGCTGGCTTGGCCGGAGCGAATGCTGTGAAATTGTAAGGCATGTGAACAAGAGCGTACTCGTTGTCTAGGCCTTGGTTGCCCACTCCTCCAGTGAAACCATTCCACTCGGCCTGCCTTTGGGTCTGCACCAAGCTCGTGGTTAGTATCGTCTCTTTGCCGATGAACTTCCCTTGCGGTGGATCACGGCTCTGCTCCAGTTGCGCCATGGCCCGCGGTTGCTCCCAGACCGTGCCGTGCCATGCGGGAGGAGGCTTGTCATCCGACTCTAATGTTTCTTCCAGCATGAGGGCCGCTCCCAGCTGCTTGTCTTTGTCATATCCCAGTATGACGGGCGCTCTACCATTCTTATCTACACGTACATATCAATGACTTGACAACGTATAGGAAAGACCTCACCTGGGAGCATGAAGTGAACCTCACCAAAGACCACACAGTTGGGATCGTCTGGCTTGAGCTCTAGTTGCAGCCAGCCCAGGTCACCGTTCTCAAACTGTAAGATCCGGAAGTCCTCCTTGTCGCCGTGCCAGATACCATTGGGTAGGCTGTGAGTGGCCTCCTCCATGATCCATGGCCCATACGCCCATGTGTATCCCGGCGTCTTGGCATCATCCTCCACGGGGAACCACTGATTCCGGTGGTAGAGCCGCGTCCGCTCCTCGTTGTCAGCACGCAGCGACCTTATGCACCGATTGGCCTTGTTCACCGCAGGGGACAAGAGTGGCTGCCACATGACCCAAATGCCATGCCAATGCTTCCAGTGATTCACATCGTTCCACACCCACATGTCGTGGGGTGTTAACTGCCGCCTTGATCCTGAAATCTCCTGGCCTTGAGTATCTGGAACGTGCGCCATAGCCAGCACGAATCTGCTATGGCTCGCTACGAAAGACATGCCTTTATCTCGTTTTGACCAAGTAACTCTTTATTTTGTCGATTGATATAAACCGTTGTCTTAGGGGGACAGCGACTTGACATAGATCTGTGGCTCCAAGCGTGGCGAAGGAACCAACTTGAGAGGCACTGCCTTGGGCACGGTGAGCCCAAATGACTCGGACATGTCGAGGTCGTCGATTGTCTGGCCGCCGGGAAGGCGCCAGTTGAACCCATGCAACACGCTGCCCAGAATGAACTGGACCGTGGCCATTGCAAGCATGAGCCCGGGGCATATTCTCCGGCCCGAGCCAAACGGAAGGTACTCAAAGTGTCTTCCTTTGAGATCGATGTTGCTGCCCATGAAGCGATCTGGATCAAAATTGAGAGGATCCTCCCAGTTGTCTTCGTCCCTGGCGATGGCGTAGATGTTGACCACTGTCCGTGTGCGTGCTGGGACGGTGTAGCCTCCTATTTCGCACTCTTCGGTTGACTCGTGCGGAATGAGCAGCGGCCCTGGGGGATGCAGGCGCATTGTTTCCTTGACAATTGCCTGCAGGAAAGGCAGGTTGGGAATGTCCGATTCTTCCAGGCTTCGATCCTCTCCTACCACCTCCTTGAGCTCCCTCTGGGCTCTTTCCATGAGCCGTGGGTTCTTGATCAGCTCGGCCAATGCCCAAACAACTGACACAGCGGAGCTCTCGGTCCCTCCACCCACCATGTCCTGTACACATAAACACATATTCATGTCAACGCCAGTCAACTCAAGTCAGCGGCACTTACCACAACCAGTGCTTTGATAGAGGTGTCACTGATATGGCTGTTAGACAAGAGAACATCCACAAAGTCCCGTGGGGCTTGGCCAGGATCCCGCCGCTGACGGTGCGATTCAACCTCCTTCTGGATGAACTGGTCCAGATCCCGCTGCAACTGCTTGATCTTGTTGACTTGCGTATCCATCCAGTCGGGGATTGGTAGGTAGTCGCCTGCATGGAAGCCAGCCATAATGGCAGCCTCGTCGAGGGTCTCCTTGAAAAACATGGTCTCTTTCTTCTCGGCCTCACTGAGAGCGCTAGCCGAGTAGCTCTTACCCAACACCATTGTTGAGATGACATTGAAGGTGAGATCCGACAGCTTGCTGCTCAGATCCACCACAGACCCCTCTCGCGATGCCTTGAGCAGCTCGTTCATGAAGAGCGACACCTCGAACTTGCGGATAGGGTGGAACGATTCCACACGCTTGGTGGTGAGAACCTCGTACATGCACACCTTCCGTGTGCTCTTCCAGTTTTCTCCGTTTGCAAATGCCAGGCCAGCTCCACCGTAGCCGATTGTCTCGCTGAAGGTCGTCTTGGGGCGCGAACCAAAAATATGGTCCTGGGTGTTGAGAACTTCCTTGGCACTATCGGATGAGGAAACGACCAGGGTGTTCACTTTACCAAGCTTGAGGAACATGACATCTCCATATTGCTGGGCGAGCTTGAGGAGGGATTGATGCGGTAGCTTACCCAAGAGATGTAGATGCCCAATGAATGGGAGCCCAGTTGGAGAAGGAGGCAGCTGGGGCGGCAGCTGTGGCTTGGTGCAGACTTGCTCCATGACCATGATTAAATGGCTCTCTTCTGGTGGATGGATCTAGAGCTCTCTGTTTTGATCAGAGCACGATTGTAGGTATTATATAAGCAAGATTCCAAGGCCTGTTTGACGAATTGGCAACAGATGTTCAACTCAAACTTGGTCAGTACTTCCCATTCATTTGAAACTGTTTGTTATCCGAAGACGGCAACGTCTTTGATATTGTACTAAGTATATTAAGTGTAGATTTTTTGACAGCTACTCTTCTACACACTTGGTCACAAGAGGGCTGTAATATTTATTACAGAGTGACAACAATCTTTCCAGTGGCATGGCCTTCCGTGCACTTGAACCAGGCAGCTGTAACGTTGGAAATCGGATGGACCGAGTCAATGATTGTTTTTAACTTGCCCTTTTGCATCATGTCCACGAGAGCTTCTATACCCGATGTGTGAGGGGTCAAATAGAAAGGGACCAAGGAACCGATTGCCTCTTGCCTGGTGATCAACTTCACTGCCTTGTCAAATTTGCGTTTGAGGCTGCTTGTGGTAGATTCGCTAGCCGGGGTGATGTCCACGACAATCCCCTTGCGAGTAAGAACATGCTCAAAGGTGGACCAGGGCGGTCGATGGTAAGCGCAGTGGATAATGACATCAAACTTGGAGCAAGAGGAGGTCTGGAGTTTGGCCCCTTGAGGTGTTTTGTAGTCGAGAACCTCATCAGCACCTAAGCTTTTGATGAGGTCAATGTTGCGGCTCCCGCATGTAGCCACCACATGAGCACCAGTGAGCTTTGCGAGCTGCTCAATTTGTACAGAACTCAATCCCAGTAAACCATACGGTTATCTGAATTGAAGTACGCACCTGCACCGCATATGTTCCCACTCCCCCTGAAGCTGCAGTGACAAGAATGGTGCCCTGAAAGTCTTTGCTTGGTATTGCTATGCCCGCGGCCTCTTGCAAGCTGTACAAGGCTGTAAGACCAGCGATTGGAAGGCCAGCTGCCTCAATCGGCGAGATTTGAGATGGAATTCTTGTGGTAAACCGCACCTCTGCAGAAGCATATTTGGCAAGGCCACCTCCTCTCTGGTTGTGCAATTACGCATTTCATTTGGACCGATTGCTTTTAAGCACACCAGGTTAACAAGAAAGATTTACCTTGTGGTCTAGACAGCTGACAACCTTATCTCCAACACTGAAACCAGTTACACCAGGACCAAGGCTTACAACCTCGCCGCTGATATCCGAACCTGGGAATTGATGTGTGAGTGTATCATCGAGCACTCTGGGCAACTGCGCTTACATGGTATATAGGGGAATTGGGCTGGAATGTTGAGGGTCTTATACTTTCCTTGCTGGATTTTCCAGTCCACTGGGTTGAGGCTTGCAGCTTGGACCTTTACAAGTAACTCTCCAGGTCCCGGCGAGGGAACTGGTGCATGTCCGCTCTAGACAAATTCCCAAGGGAAGAAGTGATGATTTTGAAAGGATTACAGGTCTTGATACCTCCAGATCTCCTCCAAACTTGGCATATTGTATGACCGGCATCGATCCTTGCATCTCCATACTCGATACTTATCTTCTCCAGTTTACCTAGGGCTACTTGTTTTTAAAAGATGGAGGAGCAGCAGGAGGGCTACTACTACAGGAGGAGCACATCCCACTACGCGGCGCTTTTGAGCACGCTTGCCCAGGACCCTCTCCTGCTGCCGGATGTGCCAGACAGCCCGGACCTTGCGACCGTGGACGCGCTCGTCAGCGCGGAGCTGGGGAATGCAATGCGCCTGTCAGTGGTTAGAATGGACGCCTCCTCCTTTGGTACGTCAATTGCTACAAGCCAATATGACGATTTGTGGTGGTCAGATGTGCTTGTCCCACCCACAGCGACTGTGCGAAGTTTGAAGGCTGCAATCACCAAGAGAATCAACGAGCTGGAGGAACAAGAGCTGGGGCACCGGCATTTCTCATGGTACTCAGTTTTCTCTTCTTTTGTGATCGGGATTGGAGCGATGGCTGGCTGACCTTCCAGGAGGCATGTGTGGGGGAGCTTCTGCCTTTGCCATGGGAATGTCAAACTGGTGGGCGATTCGACCGTCTTGAGGGATGTGGGTGTCAGGGACCGTGACCAGGTAAAGTGAAAAAGAGAGTGTACAGCTGAGAGAATTCCCTGATCAGATCCGGTTCGAAGCTCACGTCACGTCCAGGGAAGCTGGCCTCCATTCCCGTGCAAAGAGGCGACGCGTTTGGCGATAGAGAGACGCTGTTGACCATTTCCTAGGCCTAGATCGCTGGGCTTGCCCTAATGAAACACATCGGAACTCTCGAGGTCGAGGTAGGTCTCCGAAGATGGTGCGTGCGAGCATCGTCTACACCTTGTTGGTGCTGGGTTTCCTGTCCTTGTTCATCTTCTCCAAGAAAGATCCCCGCAGGCACGGCCTAGGTCGCCGGCTCATCGTTCGCAGCACACTGGCCTCCAAGGCCAATGTCAGTCACCACGAGAGCGTGGCGTTCGATCCGGTGGTTGCGCGGCTCGAGTGGCTGAGGGAGAACAGGGATTGGGAACGGGACCACTTCCAGGAGCTGTACAAGTCGTGGAATGAGACGGGGGCGACACACGATGGTCAGCATCATGCGCAGGGTCACGAAGAGCAGCCCAGCCACTGGGATGGCCATGAGGGTGACGAAGACGACTACCTCAACGATGAGCACCAGTTTAACATCTCACACCGGCTGGAGCTCCTGTTCCCTCTCTTGGACACGGATCCCAGGGACAACGTGGTGAGCCTGGGCGAGCTGCAGGACTGGCACGTCCAGCAGGCTCGCAAGCTGAGCAAGCAGCGCACCGACAGGGAGTTTGAGCTGCGCGACAGGAACAAGGACGGCCTCGTATCTCTGCTCGACTATCTCCCTCACCTGTCCGCCGAGGCCCTCGGTAAGCCCCCTCTGTGCTAATTTTACTAGCTCTAAGGAACCTCCCGTCCACGCCAGTGAACGCTAGCACCGATCATGGCGAGCCAGGCTGGTGGAAGGAACACTTCGACATGGCTGACGCCAACGGCGACGGCTTCCTCAACCACACGGAGTTTAACGAGTATGCTTCTCGTGCATCTTTAACAGCCTCTTTGTGTGTCATGTTATAACAAAACCATCTTGGCAGCTTCTTGCACCCAGAAGACAGCCGTAATCCCAAGCTGCACCACTGGTTGCGCCGCGAGCAGATACGGTGGGTGCGCCTCCATTCCCCTGCGGGCCTGCTTCTTCTTACTTTGTTGCGTGCGTCTTTCTGGTGTCAGGGAGAGTGACCACGACAAGGATGGGAAGCTGAGCCTGGATGAGTTTGATCATGTGTACGACGTCCTCAGGTATTACGGGGAGGACCTCAGCCATCTACACCAGGGACACGATGTTACTGACAGACGCGACAAGTTTAAGGAGCTGGACAGGAACATGGACGGGTAACAAGCAGCTACTGTAGCTACATCATCTTGTTTTTTGATCGCCCTGATGCAGGTTCCTCACGGAAGACGAGCTGGAGCCAATAATGGGGAAGCTTCATCCAGGAGAAAGCTTTTACGCCCGGCAGCAAGCTGAGTACTTGGTACAGCAGGTGTGTGGGCTTGTTGTGCTGGGAATTGGCGCAGAAACGTAATGCTATTGCATGCTGTGTCCAGGCAGACGAGAACAAGGACGGGGTGCTGACTTTGCATGAGATGCTAGAACATCCTTACGTCTTCTACAGCACAGCCTTCACGCCACAGGATTCCCATGAAGAGTATCAAGACCATGACGAGTTCCGCTAACAGGCTAGCATAGGATGGTTATTCAAGAAAACTAATTATAGTCGACTAAAAAATGGTGATGGAGGCGATGCTTGCTTGATTCTCCTGGCCAGACTGATGCTCAAAAGGCAAAGTTTTTAATGGCATATGCTCGATATGCCAGAAAATCTTCCAAGAAGCGCTTGATCCGGGATTTCAACTTCCATGACCACCGTCCTGCTGGTGTGCTTTTTCCTAGATGCAGCAAGATGTTTCTTTCTCAAGGAGGGAAAGGGCGACTTGGATGGAACCCGAGATCTTTCGGTGGTGCCAAGAGTGGCTGACTCTGTTCATGTCTTCTTGCTCACAGGTAATCTCTTTGAATGTATAGATCGCTTCGCTGGCTTTGAGGGCTGTGCATCTTGTTTTCCCTGCCCACCTGCCACGTGGCAGGGGGAAAAGAAAGGGAGGGGAAAGTTAGGGGCCCAAATCAAAAATTTGTTTTTTGAAAGACTTGCTGGATGTGTTTTTGCTGATGACATGGCACTTTTTTTTGCTAGGAACCAAGGGAAACTTGGATGTTACAAGAGCTAGGCTAGACACTTTCAACATAGCAGTAGGGGTGGCCATCAATTGGAACAAATCAGTAGGGATCAATTGGGGTTGCCTTGGTATAGAGGAGTGGGAATGTGACATTGGGTTCCAGTGGTTGCCACCAGGTGGAGATACATAGTACCTGGGAATTCAGGTAGGATGCAAGTTTAGGGCATCTACACAAGACTCAATGTTGTTGCAGAGGATTAGGACGGCAATCCAGAAATGGGTGAAACGAATCGACTCAACTAGAGATTGAATTGATAACACGCTGTTATAATCTATCTCAGTCTAACTGTCGCGACCGTTGACTCTTCAACTTGTCGGCATATTCCCCTGAATATTAACACTCCCACTCAAGCTGAACATCGACGTTGCGTCAGTTCTTTGGCTGCACTCCAAGTGCCTGTGCATGCTGCTGGAACAGAGCTGGAGCAAGAGCTTTGGTGAAGATATCCGCCACCATCTCCTTGGTAGTGCAGTAGACCAGCTCCACAGTCTGCAGAGCAACCTGTTCACGTATAAAATGGAACTGAACCTGAATGTGCTTGGTCCTGCGATGGAACTTCGGATTTTTCGCCAATGCTATGGCTCCTTGATTATCGCAGAAGAGCTCCGTCGCTTCCTCCTGCTTATAGCTGAGCCCGTCCAGCAAAGTTCTCAGCCAAATGCACTCCTTGGCTGCTTGAGTGATGCCGATATACTCTGCCTCAGTGCTTGACAATGCTACGACTGGCTGTCGCTGGCTGTTCCATGTAACCGCTGCACTACCCAGAGTAAACAAATAACCTGAAGTTGATCGCCGCTGATCCACTTCGCCAGCCCAATCTGCATCTGAGTATCCCTGAAGCAGCAGCCACGAGTGCTTTGTCTGGCGCTCATAAGTTAGCACAAACTCGCTGGTGCTCTTCAGGTACCGGAAAATCCGCTTAACAGCTTGCCAATGCTGGAAGCCGGGGTTGGCCAAGAACTGGGACACTACTCCCACTGAGTAGGCAATGTCCGGACGAGTACACACCATCAGGTAGACCAGGCTGCCCACCATCTGACGGTATGGAATCCGATCCATCGCTCGCTTGTCACCTTCTGTGGCCGGAGACATCTCCCGACTAAGATGCAATCCCACCTCCATTGGTGTTGACGCCGCACTGACGTCCTGAAGCTTGAACTTCTCGAGCAGCTCGTCAATGTACTTCTTTTGTGACATCTGAAGCACACTCCTCCCCCTGTCACGGAAGATCTCAATGCCGAGGCAGTACTTGACTGGTCCAAGGTCCACCATCTTGAATTTGGAGCTCAGGTCCTGCTTCAGCTGCTGAATCAGCCGCTTGCTCTTGCTGAGCAGCAGACAATCATCCACATAAAGGGCTAGGATGATGAGCTTGCCTCCCACTCGCTTCTGGTACATGTTGGTGTCTGCTGACATGCTGGTGAAGCCAAGTGACAGCAGAAACGAGTTCATCTTTGAGAACCACGCTCGGGGTGACTGCTTCAACCCGTAAAGGGCCTTTTTAAGACGACACACAAGGTGCTCCTGGCCTGGCTTGACAAAGCCTGTCGGCTGCTCGATATAGACCTCCTCATCAAGGTCACCGTTGAGGAATGCTGTGGTTACGTCCATGTGCTCCACCTCCATATCCTCCTGAGCAGCTAAATTGAGCAGCAGTTGGATAGAGGTGAGCTTCACCACTGGTGAAAAAGTCTCGTAAAAATCCACACCTTCGACCTGAGAAAATCCGCGAGCTACAAATCGGACTTTGTGTCGAGTGCTGCCATCCGGAGTAGTCTTCACTCGCAGGAGGAACTTGGTTTTGATTACCTTCCGCCCTGGTGGGAGCTTCACTAAGTCCCACGTCTGGTTCGCCATCAACGCATCGTATTCCACCTGACGAGCGGCTTCCCACTTGGATGCGTCTGGACCAGATAAGGCTTCCTCCAAGGTCTGAGGCACCAAAGCATCTCTGCCTTGGCTGAAGAGTAGCATGAACGTTGACCCTTCCTGTTTTGCACCTGCCTCCTCGCTGGAAGCAAAGTAAAATGACTCACCAGAGCCTGAGGGAGCTTGAGGAGCCGATGCTGCTCTTTCTCTCACTGCCTTAGCCTCTGCTCTGGACTCACGCTTGGCAACAGCAAGATCACGCTGCTCCTGGTACTGGTGCCCTGCCTCTGTGAGCTTTGTTACTCGAGTGGATCGACGTAACGGTGGAGCTGAAACGGCAACCTCTCTGCCATCTGAAGCCTGCTGATCAAGACCCACTGCCTGATCACTCGCTTGAGAGCTCCCCCCCTGATCGGCCTGACTCCCACCCACTGGTGAGATCGGATGACCGCCACCTGCAGCTGGAGGCTCACTAACTCCAGCTCCGATACCATGAAACGAATCGACTCAACTAGAGATTGAATTGATAACACGCTGTTATAATCTATCTCAGTCTAACTGTCGCGACCGTTGACTCTTCAACTTGTCGGCATATTCCCCTGAATATTAACAATGGGCTCCACGGAAACTAGGACTTCTGGCTAGAGTGGTTGTTGCGAAAAGCATTATGCTGTTATACACATGGTACCACCTCTCAATATGGCTAGTGCTAGAGATAACAATCAAGCGTATAAGGTTGATGGTGCATACGTAGGAGCACTGGTTAGTGGCTGGACGATGGCAAAAGTGGCATGGCAGTCCATGGTGAGGCTATGAGTTCTAGGAAGATTGGGGATAATAAACCCGAGCGATATGATCAAGGTGTTGAGGTACAAAGTCATACTAATGAGCCTCCAACTAGGGGCCTAAGCTTGGAAACTTCTTTTCAGGTAGAGCATGCTGGCGATCAGATCAAGATATGGATTTGCAAGAGTTTGGGATGAAGATCCTCGGTGGTTGTTTGCAGAAGGGTAGACACAGGTAATAGGGGGAGGACAGTTGATCCAGAGTCTACTTCAACTCTAGAAGTCATTCCCATTGACACAGGTCATCCTGACT